ATGGCCACAAAAATCATGACTGGAAATTTCTGGACTCACGAGGTTTATACAGTTCATTATTTTAAAATCCCCAGGATAGATCTCCATCAGAACCAGAAATAATATAACGAAGCCCATTAAATTGTGGATTTCAGATTTTGATTTGAAAGCCATAAACTGGTTCAGGTTTCATTAAAGGGGGTATGAAAGGGATAGTAAGAAACTAAAGTTGACATTTGTGCAATAAACTCCACAGTCCAGAGACTCATTGCATTAGATGTTAAGCCCAACACCTGCATTTCAGTGGATGAAAACTGAAATGTCTTGTTTCAAGGCTATTTGTGCAGAAATTCCACTGATGTGTATATAGCTGTTGACCATAAAGTCACCCAACCAGAGCTTGTTTTCCATTTATGGAGCAACAAGTTAACCCCTATCCTTTCTTTTTCTTTTTTTTTAATGGAGCAACCAGTAGCTGATTTTATGCTGCTTCTGGTTGATGATCAATCTGGAAAGGACAAATGGTAGGTTTCTTAGGCCTGGCCCTGGCCCTCCATGGCCTGAGGCCTAGAGACAAAGAGGTCTTGTTCATAATAAAAAGAGAGAACAGGAGCTCCTGCCTCTCTAGGGTGTGCTGAAACAGCTGGTTAAGCAAACACACCGGGAAGAAGAAATCAGGGTCATGGACTCATTTCCTGTCCTTTCCTGCCACTGGCTAAGTTGGGGAATTGGATGGCCCATCAGGGACAGGTTTGCCACCCCCCACCCCCCCAAGGCTGTCACAGCCTTTTTCCTGCTAGGGCACAGTTGTGAAGCTTGACAGGGATTTTGTGTACCTACTAGTCTTTTGTTCCTGAAATGGCTCCTTGGGACAGGTGGTCATGGGAAAAAAATGAGAGAAGGAGGCATATTGCTCTGAAATGCTTACATTTCAGAGCAATATGAATGGTCCTTGTTTCTTGAGATGCTGAAGAAGAGGCAGCTTCACAAGTTCTATCGGCTGGTGAAACTTCATGACAAACTCGGAACTGCTACTAGGTAGAAGGCCAGGCTGAAAGTTAAGTCTGACAATTTTTTTGTACAGGCTCCAGGCTTCTATCTATTTGCACTGTTGATGAAAGGGTTTATTTTATGATGAAATATCTGTGGGAAGTCTTTTGCGAGTCACCATAAATGAGAACATTTATAGTCAGAACAGAAACCCAGCCAAATGTATTTATTCATTTTTCATATTTATAAAGTGCTCCAATCAGTTGTGCTACTGGACAGTGAACAACAAAGCAAAACTAAATCAAGCAGAATACTAACAAAATTATTAAAAATCATGATATCCCTATAGATCCAAGATGAGTATGCCAAAGCAAATTGGGCCAAAGGCATGGTAATATCTGTAGTTTAGTGCCGAGTCTTATAAGGCTTTAAAGGTGATAATGAATCAAGCCTGGAAGCATTATAGAAATCAGAGCAGTGAGCTTAGAATAAATGTTATGCTGAAGTGGCAAGTAGTCCAATTACCAGTAACAGCATTCTGGACCATTTGCAGCTTCTGAATCCTCTAGGCAAAATGCATTGTGATAATCCAACCATTATTAAAGTGGGGTATTACTTTTATGTTCTAGTCTATATAAAGTTGTACAGTAATTTGTGTACCAACTGAAGCTGCCATGGTTTCCACCATTTTTTTTTAAAGAAGAACCCCCAAGTCTAAAATTACAAACCAACTCCAGAACACAAACAACCCATAAATATTGATATTGATAGAGTGCCCAGATATTCAGGGACCAATAAAAACTCCTTCCTAGGATTTAATCAGAGCTTGTTTAACCCCATCCAGTCTCTAAAATCTTCCAGACTCCAAGGCATCTTGCTTGCCTTGATAGAAATATATATCATAACGTTGTCAGAAAATTGATGAAACCTCACCTCAAACTGACAGATGCTATTAAGCTTCCCAGTAGTTTCCTGTACATACAGATGTTAAATAGCATCCATCCCAAAATGATTTGAACATCTTTATCCACAAAGAAATCTGTTTGCTCTGCCAAATTTTCTCTAAAGGGATTTGGATACCTCTGGACAGTATGCAGATAAAACAAGCACAAAAAAGTAATGCTTATACACTTCTATTATTAGTATGTAGGCTCACATGTGTCAGCCCTTAAAAGTAGACCATACTAGGATACTGAAATCATGCTGGCCCATATTATTTTTATTATAAAGATATAGTAACAGAATATTGCAAGTCTGATTATGCTTCCTCCTTCCCTCTCTACCTTTATCTTTATGAGACCTCAGAGAGTCTTTTATGAGATGTTTTTTTCAGGTTACAATTCTGCCCCAGACTGAGGTTTCTTTTATCTGACTGTTAACTTAGTAGTGTCTCTTCCTCCTGTCCCTCAAGACCATTTCCTCTTCCCACTACAATATATGAGCAGTTTCCAGTACTCCATCATGGCTACTTTTGTGATCCATCATGGTTGCTACAGTATCTTTTCAGTTACTTAATTCCCCTCACCTCCTCAGTGAAGTAAGGAATGGCTTGGGACCAGTAATGGGGCAGAGGCCTTGTTGAACTAATCTCATTCAGCGCATGCACCAAATTCTCGACAGAGCCAAATTGCCAGAAAAAAAATTCCCAAGTGTCCTCTAGAATCCTGAATCCATTAGTCAATTGGGACAGATCCTTTCAAAAGGCCCATTGCCTCTGCAGATGTCCAGGGCTTCTGTGATCTGCAGTTTGACATTGTGGCAAAGGAGAGATGCCAACATCCTCCACCTTCACATCACATCTTCCATTATCTTTGCTCCAAAATAAAGACCAGTGGTGAGATCAGTAGCAAACAAATTAAATAAATAAATGTCTATCTTTATCCTTATGTTTTGTAAGCAACAGTTTTAAAAAAGTTATCTTTCCTTACTCATTAAGATGATGCAAACTGATTTTCCAGGAGCACCTTCTAATCAGAAGGACATTTTGGAATTTTAGAACTAATAGACCAGTGTTTCCCCACTTTGGCCATTTGAAGATATGTGGACTCAGCTCCCAGATATGCTTGCTGGGAGTTTTAAGTGGCCACACATCTTTAAGTGGCCAAGTTTGTGAAACACTGCACTAGACTATCATAGTGCAAATCTTGGGGTCCTTGGTGCTGATGTAACTGATGATGTTACCCAGTTAGGTAATGAAACATCTGCAAGAAAACAACCAATCTCAGAGAGCACCAAGGACTCTGGAATTCAATCCTGAGATACAAATATACTCTTCTATCAGTTGTGCAAACCTTGAATGAAAGAAAAGCAAGAACGTCTCATGTTCCTTCTTCACTACCAGCGTTTCCCCCAGTGGGCAAATAAATGCTCCTGGAAAGCCCACAATATAACAGAAAAGCAACAGACCATCACTGCATATCACTTGAATTTGGCTTTCATAGAAGTAAGTGGAAACTTTAGCATACATATTCTGATTCCTATCAGCAGCAGCCAGCTTGATTATTTCTGCTTTATTTACTATACATTCCCAAAGTCTGCAAATCTCTCAGGCATTCCAGTATTTAACCCTCATTTCTCAGCCATCCAATTCTGTTGGTATTCATCTTCATATTTGCTATAAAAATAATATTTTCTCTGAACATGTAGACCCCTGATGATGTCCCCCACCAAAAGTAATTCAGTTGCAGCTCCTATACTACCAAAATCTTCTTTTGTTTATAAAACTCAGCTTTTAGAAGTTTAGAAAAATGATCTCATGATTTTATCTGGAAGCTAGAGAGCAAAAGAACTGGATTTGGATCAGAGAATTTGGGTTCACTTCCGAACTTGTTTGTGGACTCCTTGTATAGTCACTGGAGACCCTCCACTCCAGCCTCTTATTTTCTTTTTGCAAACAGCAGCAAGCTAATTTGTGTTGGAAGTATGACTTCAATGGAACTTTCTCTTCAGCACTTCCCAGCCTTCTATTCTCAAAGAGCAATGCAATGTAGACTGAGAATTAATTGTTTACTCTGTATCCCCCAATCCATACTACATTGTGGATTTTGCTATAAGATTTCTCACCTCAAGAGACTTCCCTCTGTGTCCTTAGTTCCCAGGCACACATGCACAGGCCACTCGGTCTCTAAGTTTTTTTCTGGCATGATACACTTAACCTAGAGCTAGGTCCTGCCTCTATAATGCATTTATTTAAATATATCTCCTGTTATACAATCTCCCCCCCCCCCTTTGACAATCATTACTTAGGTCAGATTCTCATTTGTCAGACACAAACAACCAGAACCACGCAAGAATAGGCCCAAGTAGATGCTTTGTTTCTGACTGCCGGTATTGCAAGAACCTTGCCAGGATGTTGGCCTTCCCTTGGGAAATGGCAGATATAGACCTCAGGGGTTTTGCTCAGTTGTTTGTTCCCCCGAATCAACTCCAGGCTGGAATGACTTTTTATTTCCCTTGGAAAGAGCCCCTCTGCTTCCACAGATGATTCCACCACACCACTTGAAAATCTACTAATTAACTATTAACAGTGATGGCAATGGATTATGATAGGATTAGTAGCTTTATTAGCCAGCCTCTCTTTCTATGTTTCTTGCTCCCCACATCTTTTCTCCAAGAGGTGTTATTATTTTTGACATGGGGGGGGGGTGATGTCAGCCATATGATATTTTAAACCATCCTTAATTAATCATAATTAATATAATTTACCCATTGCTGGAGTGAGATCAAAGCACATGAACCATCCTCAGCAGACCCATTGGTGCTTTGTCCTGTGCAATAAGTATGGCAGGAACAGGAAGGGCCTGAAGGAAGGAATAGTACTCCTTCAAATGCTTGTCCAGGTCAAGGGCAGATGAAAAAATGGAAACTGCTGAGTTTAGCATGTGCAGGGATTGATGGAGCATTATCTCAGAAATGCCTTTAAGCTACTGAGCACATGATTAGAGCCTGGGGAAGATCTTGGGGCAGCCTCCTCGGTGGCCCTTCTTCAGTTGACCTTGCTCCACATTGGTGCTTCAGAACACCTGATCCCCAGTTCGGCAAAATCCCTCTAAGCCAGAGAGAGGCTGGTATTGGCTCAAGAAGGGAGCAACAATAGGCACTGAAGGCGCTCAGGAGAGCAAGACAAGAAAGAATCTGTCTTGACTTAAGGCTGGGCTAGAGAAGAAGGCAGCTCCAACAGGAAAGCACTGGAGCCCCCTCCCCAGGTTTTCCTGGGATCCCCTTTCACTGACTGAAGGCAAAAAAACAACAACACGGTGATGGGTGCAGGTGCGAGTGTGGAGGAAAAGCACTCTCGGGAGCTGGAAAAAAAGCTCAAGGAAGATGCCGAGAAGGATGCCAGGACAGTTAAGCTGTTGCTTCTTGGTAAGTAACTCCTCCAAAGAAAATCACAGTGACCTTGTCCACACTGTGACGGGCATTATCAAGGCGTTCTCCCTCCCCTTTCCTACATTGTCTCATTCACTTGCATGACTGGGTTGAAGGAGAGCAGTGCGCATTTCCTTCAGAAGCAAAGCAGTCATAACCCAGAAGGTCTTCTGTCCCATCATCTGTATAGGCAGAGTGGACAACAACATTAGGACGTTGTGCGAAGGCAAAGCTTTAATTCAAGTCCTATGAAGATTTATCTCCATGTATTTCTTTATCAAATTTTAAAATCGCCCATCTCCCTCACAGAGGGACTCTGGGTGGTATACAGATAAAATATCAAGCCATAAAAAGATGGGCAAGGGGTTGGACTAAAAGGTCCCTTCCAGACTTATATTTCTATTCTATTCTAAACCCTAAGCAAGGCTGAGAGCCATGTTTTTACATCTTTCCAGAAGGCCAGCAGAGTGGCCTTATGAGACAAACATAAGAGGAAAAGATACCTGCATTTTAGAGAAATGGGAACTTAAAGAAATTTCTTCTAGGTGCATCCACTGAGACACAGATTATTCTGAGGGAAGCTTAAGGCATCTCATATCAGCTCCTGTTGCATGTTGATGCTGATTTCCTTTGTCATTTGGGGGCTATACATTTAAATCTCCCTGGATCGTTGCTGCTTCAAGACTTTTGCTGACATAGCTCTGCTAGATCCTCTGCTTTAAATATAGAAGCTGTACCCTGCTTTTACACAGATGAAGGGAAGGATGGACTGAAGAACTGTAAGGATGGTTACCTTCTCTTGTATTCTTGGCAAGGCTTACTAAATTGACCGGGTTAGTTAGCTCAGCTTTCCCAAACCACATGTTCTGTAGATGTGTTCGGATTATATTTCCAAGAATTCCCAGGCAGCAGAGCTAAAGGAGTGCGCCAAATTAAAGCAGGATGAAATATCTAAAACAACTTGGGTCTACATTTACTATTAAGCAGCTTTAAAAAAAAAAAGTTAACATTGCACTGTGTTACACATTCATACAAACAATTGCTGCAACTGAAATATAAGGAAAGGGCAGAAACACAATGGGCATTGTGAAATGGTTCTTTGTCAGAGAAAAATGCATTTAAATATTACAGAAGTGCACGCTGTTATTGGCTCATTTCCATAACCTCCAAGAGAGCCATTGGTGTACTTTTTTAGCAACTTTGTTCCAGAATATTGATGGACATTTTCATTAGCAATACCAGCCAACCCACAAATTAGTACAGCTGATGGGCTTCCTTTTCCCACATTATTATTAAGGGAGTTAAATGAAGAACTGGCCCATGGGAACTGTTTTTCAGTCTTCCCTGGTCTGACTAGACCATTCAGACGTTGGGATTGCAATTCCAGACTGCCATAAGTATATGCCTTCTGCACAGTACAGGATAAGAGACAGCATGCCTCAGTTTCCCATCCTCAGCTGTGATGTTTTTATACCTTTGTAAGCTAGAGCTGTTCTTTTTCTATGAAGCACTGAGAATAAGCTGGTCTATGGCCCAGTTCTCATTATCTTATTATTTCTCCTGGAAAGGTGACCAAGGTTGACTTACAGCATCTTATCCTGACACCTTTGGTGGTGGTAGTCCTGCACAGAACACTTGTTGCAATATAATATGGAAAAGTCCTAAAGAGAAGTTCTTTAGAATTTAGAGGAAGGAAGGAAGGAAGGAAGGAAGGAAGGAAGGAAGGAAGGAAGGAAGGAAGGAAGGAAGGAAGGAAGGAAGGAAGGAAGGAAGGAAGGAAGGGCTTGAATTAGGTCATAAGGCCACTACACCTTTAGTTCAAGCTAACACAGTAAGCTTTAAAAATATCATGTATGAAATATTTTTCTTTCGCTTTTTTTCTTCCTTTAACACATTGTTCTTCCTAACAGAGCTGTCAAAATTTGAAAATAAAAAGCAATTAAGAAAGTTTGATCAAACGTAGAGCCAGTAAGAAAGAGAGAATCTCTGTGCTAGTCAAAGACCATTGAAGCTGACATCAATGTAGAATATTAGCTGGAAAGATTTGCACATAAGGCTGGTATGAAATGTACGGGTACAATAATTTATCTGAAAAAATGTCCATGCTAGATTTAAGCCCTCTTCCCCAAATGGAATTCTTATCGTATTCTGTTCATTGCTGAAATAAGTCTGTAATAACCACCCAGTTAGTTACATTTGGCTAGGGAAATAGGAAAATAAATACACTAAATTGAATCTGAATCTTTCCACTTCCAATCCTGAATCTTAACCACCACGTCAAAATGGTTTAATGCCCACTGTAGTATTTAAAATTAATGACTGATATGATAGTTGCGATTCAAGTTTAGGAGTAATTAGTAGAGTTAAAAGTCAGATGTAGACAAGTTGAGCTTGTTTAGTAGTTGAAAAAGCATTGAATTCTGTTGCAATGGTTGAATGTATAATGAAATTTGTATAAAACTGCTGCTGTTAAAAAAAAATCAGAATAGAATCTCCATAGATGGGAGCAGAATAAATAGAGCATAGGGATTAAGAAGCAAAATAAGGTGCTGTTTGGTTAAACAGGAGACAAGGTAAAACTTTAAAGATGTCTAAATGAAAAGGCCTTGTTTTTCTAAAGTGCAATGATGCAGAAATGAATTGCAAGTTAGGAGAGTGTAAAAGACATGCACAAAAAGAGGGGGGGGGGAGAAATGGAAGTGTCAATCCAGTTAGCTACAAGACTATGGTAAAAAAACAGAAGTGACAAAAGGGAATTTGGAAGTAGAACTGAGTGTCTTTTTCTCTCTCTGCCGCAAAAGGGGAGGGAAGGTTGAACAACAAAGAGCTTAACTGGAGAAAGTGGAAGGAGATAGCTACTTTCTTTTTTGCAGCAAAATATCTAGTAGAGATTCCTCTCCATATGGAAGAGACAGGAGAAACAACCTGGAAGCACAAAGGAGTGTCAGGCAGCAATTTGTGGCCAACATAGGAGAACCTGGTGGATGATGGATCACCAATAAGAGAAAAGACCCAGAGTACTGACCGAAAAAGATTATGGTTTGAAGAACCCAATGCAGGCTACATCAGAGGGTCGAGGATAGAAAAGATATAGCCTGGAAGAAGAGACCAAGCTGCAGTGTGGGAGGGTTAGGAATGCTGCTACATGAGAATTTGCAGACTCAGCTGATGATTTAGGGTGTTCTGCATGAAAGTATATATTGTGCTTTTAATATTTGTACTTGACCATTAGAAATGCTACAGCAAGAGGATTAGCTTCACAGCAACTTGAAGAAGGGAACAAATAAAATATATGTTTCTATATGTTTGTGTGTGTATGAGAGAGGGGGGGGGAGGGAGGGAGAGAGAGAGAGAGAGAGAGAGAGAGAGAGAGAGAGAGAGAGAGAGAGAGAGAGAGAGACCAACTGCCAGTTCTGAACTCAAATCAAACCACGTTTGTTTGAAGTTCATATAGTTGTGTGATATTGTTTAATCTATTGTGGACCTCTAGGTTTGATAAGGTTTAAATGTATTATTGTTTACAACCAAAGTCTTCTAATCTTTCTTTAATTTCCTGGGGGGGGGGGGTTGGGAGGTAACTGATATTTCTCTCTCTATTCTTGGGCACCAGGTTCTTAAAACAAAGTGCAAAATTATTGAGGAGAGCCCACCAAGGATTTTTGGGGAAGAGCAATTTTTGCATTCTGAACAAATCTATGACTGTGGAGGTGCAGCAAATGGGATCTGATGTTAATTTGAATTTGGTGCCATATAGAAAGGATTGGGAACTGGGAACAAGTACAGTTTAGTCACTTTTCAATTTTTGTTCCACAGGAGCTGGAGAATCAGGGAAAAGCACCATAGTCAAGCAAATGAAGTAAGTCTTCTTCCAACAATGTCAGTTTTTCCAAAAACATTACCTATCCTTGCTCTGTGTATAGTCCTCTATATACTTTGTGTTTCAGGAAATTAAAAATGTACAAATATCCCAACAGCCACCTTATTCTCATTTATTCTATGTCTATCCAGTAAGTTGCAATATTTAACTGAGTATGACTGTTCTTTAAAATCAAAGTATGATCAAGATAGATGAATACTTAGATGGAATACTACCCAGGGGTATAGGCTACATTAGAAAATAAGTTCTATAAAAGACTGTACATGATGTGTACGTGTAGTCATCCATCATTTACCATGATTTAAATAAGTATTTTTCACATACTATATTTTTAGGTGCATATATAAAAAGTGTTGGGTATGCAATCAAGAAACATATTTGTCAAAGAGGTAATTCAAGAGATTCATACACAACATAAAGCCACCTTGCAATTGGCAGGTTTGAGGTCTACTATGTTATGTAAACCCATCCCAATGAAGAACCATGGTTTATATAGGACAAAAGAGGGTATTGCATCTTCTGTTAAGGAAAGGGCAGACAAATCCCATGTACTAACATTTAGATTTAGCATTATTTGTGAATTAGATTTCAAAGTATCTGGTGAAATTCCTTTCTTGAGAATATTGAAAACTTCCTTGATAACAGAAAAAAGAAATCCGGAGGTAGCTATAATAAAAAAAAAAAATGCAAGGGAAAATGAATGAGAAGCTGGGTCTCTCCATAGCAAGTAACTTGTCAGAGGAAAAAGAGACAGTTGCATTTTGTTCAGAGTTCCTTAGATATACTTAGTGCAGTGCTTTTCAAGCTTGGCAAATTTGAGATGTGTGGACTTCAACTTCCAGAATTCCCCAGCCAGCATCTAATGTTCCTGAGAACTTCTGGATTGATTTTCTGTTCTTATCTTCCATAGAATTATCCATAAAGATGGTTACTCTTTAGAGGAGTGCTTGGAATTCATCTCCATTATCTACAGCAACACCCTGCAGTCCATGCTATCCATAGTGAGGGCAATGGGCATCTTGAACATCCAGTATGGAGACCCAGCCAGGCAGGTTGGTCACTGAGGAATGGTTATGTTCATATCTGGTTGTTCTTTGGGCTTTTATTTATTTATTCATTTATCAAACTTATATGGCTGCCCATCTCACCAGAACTGACTCTAGTCACAATAAATATATCAAAAACGATCATTATAAAAGTATAAAACAATCATTAAAAGTTAAAGCAGTATTAAAAATTAAATAATTTGGTATCTTGTCACTCTCTTCCACAACAAAAATGGCTGATAAAAAATAAAAGAAAATGGACATTGGACAATGGGTGATGGACATAATGTGATTTGGAGAATTGGGATTATACAGGCTTCCAGAGAAATTAATTCCAAAGATAACAAAAAAGATGTTGGTCAGAGAAACTTAAAGTAATCATTTTTGCCCAGACTACTCTTTTCAGCAAAGGAAAAAGTGAAGGACTCTCCCTCCCTCCCTCAGGAATGTGTCATTGATTGAGCTTCAGACAGGAAGCAGAGAGTGGTGAAGATGGCAGAAAAGATTATTGGCAGTTCCTTCCCTTCCATCCAGGACATAGCACATAAGCGTTGCTTGAGCAAGGTCCTCAGGATTGTCTGGGACACTACACATCCTCTTCACAACCTGTTTTCCTTGTTAGCTTCTGGGAGGAGGCTTTGTGGTATCCATAGCAGAACATCCAGATTCAATCACAGTTTTGTTCCATAGAGTATTAACCTTGTGAACTCCCAAGCTTCCTCTTTCTGCTATGTATTCAAGATGGACAGTGATTAACATTTATATGTTATTTAAATGTAAGGGTGTAGGTCTATACATATGTTGTATATAGTATGTTTAAATGTGTGTTATATATGTGTACACTTTGAGAGCAAGCAACTAAATTTTATTTTTAATGTGTGCCATTGTGCCCACAGTAAATAAAGACAATAAAGGTTGTCTGTCTGTCTGTCTGTCTGTCTATCTATCTATCTATCTATCTATCTATCTATCTATCTATCTATCTTTTGTCTCAATTGTAGGATGATTCCCGCATGTTGGTGCACTTAGCAGATACTATTGAAGAAGGCACCATGCCTAAGGAGATGTCTGACATCATTGAACGACTCTGGAAAGATACAGGCATCCAGGCCTGCTTCGATAGAGCCTCAGAGTTCCAGCTGAATGACTCGGCTGGCTAGTAGGACATCTTTACTTAGAAACTTTGAAATGGAGAACATGGCTTGGATCTGGAGATAGTTACGAGTGTGCAGGATGATTCCCAGCATGGCTTAGTTATAATGGCAGAGACAGGAGATAGATGGAGGCATTTTATACAGGCCCTATGCTTGTTTGGGCCCTTTTCTAAGCAGCTGAATTCCTATATTTCTGCCTCAGATGGAAAGAGAATGATTGTTCCCACACTCCAGGCAGATGCAATGGCATATAGAGTTAGAGGAGAGTGGTTTTATGACCAAAGTGGCAACTTTCAACCATCCCGGTAGGCAATGTGTACCATCCACTTCCTTCTAGGAACTCCTCTAAAACTTAGAGAGGACCTTAGCTGGATCCCTTCTCTGAGTGGGTGTGAGGGGAAGAGAAATGCTCTCTGGGATCCTGCCTGAATATTCTACGTCCAAACTCTGTTTCTCTCAGACCCCACTTTCCTTCAAGAAAAAAGATATTTCAAAATTCCACACCTTGCCTAATACCTTAAAGAACGGAAGCTGAAAGATCCAGGGTTCTTCTGTATTAATTACATTATGGAACCATATTTCTATGTTTGCAGTTACCTGAATGCCTTGCCACGGCTGGTAGTTCCTGGATACGTTCCCACAGAGCAGGATGTTCTCCGCTCTAGAGTTAAGACCACCGGGATTATTGAAACCCAGTTTTCCTTCAAGGATCTCCACTTCAGGTATTGTATGTCCTATAAGCAGTGATCCCCCAACAAGCAGATCATCCTCTGAGTCTAATGGCCTTACTTTCAAGAGGTCAGAAAATAGTTTTTAAGATTTTGAATGTTCAAAATTGTTCACTGGAGAACAAGATAAAGGCTAAGTGCCTATGGATATATGTGATTAGGTTTGCATGTGTTGTGGTTGGTTAGGAGCTGTAAAATCTCTCCTGGTCACCATTTCTAATGGAGTATGAGATGAATCAGAAATTCTGTTTTGTGATGTTAGGATGCAAGAAAGTCTTTGCTAAAGTCTTCTACAATAAAGAGAAATGGTTGATATAATTCATCCCATGGAGACTCCCCAACATTGTTGTTGGGGATAAGTTCTCCTTGAACTCCAGAAAAAAAGGTGGAAAATAAATTTCCATCTTTAACCTAAGGAAAAAAAAGTAAAAATTTAAAAACTGGAATGAATGTATCTTCTCAGAGCATAGTACAGTGATGGCGAAACTTTTAGAGACCAAGTGCCTTAAAACCGCCCCCCTGCCCTCCTACAGGGCCACTCACCACCTCCACGGCCCACCGCAGATCACCCAGGCGGCCCAGCAGCTCTACAGTGGCCACACCCTCTGCCTGCGCCCTGCAGCATCATCTGCATGTGACAGGGTGCGAGGGCGGAGTCTTGTCCCCGCTGCCTGGCTGCCACGTCCTTGGCTGCACTGCTCCTCATGGGCCACACCTGGGGGTGACTCTCCTCCGGGGGGGCTGTTGATGAGGAGGGGGCCGTGGGAGGAGGGGCTGGGGTGACGCTGTGCATGGCCACAGAGAGGGCTCTGAGTGCTGCCTCTGGCACACGTGCTATAGGTTCGCCACTACAGGCATAGTATCTGAAATTCAGATCATATACATTTATCTTTCACACTGAGCCTTGAAAACCAAAATAAACATTGAAGACTAGAAGTAATCAAATAATCTAGAACAGCTAATGAACAGAAAACAGGAGGAGGAGAAGGAGGAGGAGGAGGATGGGAAACTGATCATATCTGCTTTGTTTGAAATACTTTATATGCACTTATCCAGGATTATGAAAAATTAGCAGTTTAATAAAGCTACTCTTTTTATTTTTGTGAGGATGTGCTGCCCCCTACTGATGCATGGTTGGAATAACCAAATTTCCATCTGCATAAAGAGATTTTTAAAGGCATTTTATTATTTTCTTCAATAGCCCTTCTTTTCTTGTAAGTACACCTCCATGGAGTTTTCCTAATGACCCCTTTTCCCCATATGTGCATCTTATATCTCCATATTTTTCTATTTCAATTAAATTGATAAGATTTCTTTTGAGATGTTATTAAAAAAGAAAGATATTTTTGCAATTTTGCAGTTTATCCCAGGCTGTAGCTGAAAGGAAAATACACTTGAATTACTGTGAAAAAGGGTAGCCAAAGATCTTGCAGGTTTGTTAAAATCTAGCCTTTGATCTTTTTCTTGGCTGTCAGAGTTGACAGTGAAATATGCAAAGTTGTTCCAATGAAAAAATTCCTTGCCACTTAAAGATTCTTCAGCCCTAATCAGTCTTGGTCCACAGTTCCCAACTTTCCAACATCCCCTAACCCTAACTTCCTTCCTGCCTACATGAATATCTTCTGCCTCTAGATTGTAGATGAGAATTGGTTCCGTTTTCTCTTGTTTCTACTTCACCTTCCTGGGCTCACCATATGCTTAACCCACTAGTGGTTCTGGAAGCATACCAGCTCAGTGACTGGGATAAAAGTCACCATTTCAGGGAGGCTTGCTCCAGGAAGTGCCTGAAATCCCCACGAGTCCTTATGTAAGGAGAGTCCTAGCATCTTCAGCCACTTCTCCATCAGGTAGACACGTAATGGGATTGACTAAATGAAATTAACCCAATGTTTCTCAGCCTTGGCAACTTTAAGATGGTGGACTTCAATTCCCAGCATAGGAATTCTGGGAGTTGAAGTCCACCCGTCTTAAAGTTGTCAAGGTTGAGAGACACTGGGTGTTAACTCCATGCCTGCATTTACTTTTGGATTAAATGTAAATATCAGGATAGATTCCATAAGCTTATGGATTTTTTTTTTTTTTTTGGTGTTCCTTTAATACAGTATCCTCCTACAGTTAGCTTAGTTTTAGAAGTGTGGTTGATACACTCGAAGTACTTTTTAATATCCTGGGCCGTTTTTTCAAATTATTGCCTACTCTGCCCCACATCTTTATTCTCTCATCATTTTTCAACCCCCTTTACCTATTATCCCTTCAAATTCTTTCTTAATTAGTTTTCTACAGTTCCTTCAGTCGGCTTGCTTTTTCACATCTGTCCTTGAGGGAGCCTGCCTGATTTTCTTAATTAAATGATAGGACTTATTTTCTCTGCAAAACTATTGTTGGCCCTGCAGCTTTAAATCCTGCCAGACAGATAATTTTGCTTCCTCTCTGAAAAAATAAACTTTAAGCATTCTGATGTAATTCTTTCCTGAATAGCAGGAATAGCTCTGAAATGGGAGAGCCACTTCATCATGAGAAGTGCAGTAAAGTATTAACAAGTCACAATTCTGGTTCTGTCTATTTCTGTTTGGTCCATTCCTCTTCTGCCAATATTGTCTGTCTCAGTCTGTTTCTGTGCTGGATGCAAATTTGTCTTTCAAACATCAGTGCAAGAAAAGAAATGCACTTTTGTGTGCATTCTTCTTAACATAACTCTGAAGACGTTTCCAGAATAAGTTTGTGAAATATTTTCCTTAATATGGATACTTGGGTATATATAGCTTTAAACTCTGAACTGCATTTTTTTAAAAATTGAGAAATGGAGGTTTCTATTATGTAAGGCTATTCTATTTCAAATATTCAAAATAGTTACATGTACTCCTCAATTTACGACTGTAATGGAGCCTGGTAATTTCCATGTTAAGCCATGACAGACAGAAGTTAAGGCACCTACATGACTGACCCGATTTTAAATTTTTGTGGAAGTCATTATATCAATGCTGCAGTCATAACGTGAATGCCACTGTGGTCATAAAGCAAATGCCACAGTACTTTTTAATATCCTGGGCCGTTTTTTCAAATTATTGCCTACTCTGCCCCACATCTTTATTCTCTCATCATTTTTCAACCCCCCAAATACACTCATTTCTATGGGTGTTTTTTTTTTTTTTTTTTTGCCAGAAACTGGCAAAAAAGATTGAGAGCAAACTGGAGGGAAAAGCCATACATTGAGGTCACATGACTGCAACCATCAATAAAGGTGAGCAGGATGTCAAATGCCCAAAATGCAGTCATGTGACTGTGACTCTGTGCATGTGTGTGTGTGTGTGTGTGTGTGTGTGTGTGTGTGTGTGTGTGTTTGTGTGAGTGAGTGAATGACCACTGGAACGCCAGAACTGGGTCATAAGGAGCTTTGGAGAGGGGTGGAGTCCATTATAACTTTGAGCAATCGCTAAATAACTGATCATTAAGTGAGGACTTAATTGTGTATTTGTGTAATTGTGTATTGTGAATGAAATAAAAATATGAAATTAAAGCAATTCTTGATCACTCCAATTCTTCACCTTCCTCGCAGGATGTTTGATGTTGGAGGCCAGCGCTCAGAACGCAAGAAGTGGATCCATTGCTTTGAAGGGGTCACCTGCATCATCTTCATTGCTGCTCTCAGCGCCTATGATATGGTCCTGGTGGAAGATGATGAAGTGGTAAGGAGCATCCAAAGTTATCTTCCAACTCTTCTGATTATAGCAAATGAAAGATATTACATATTTTTTCAACCAAGATTTAAAAGGGGCAGTTTTCTATTCTTGGAGAATAAGGAGATTGCTGTAACCTGAAGGCACGTTTCACAAGTTTCATACCATTCTATGACTTGTAGATAATGGAGGAGAGTGAGGACTATACATAACTCTGCTAAAATAAAAATCATAGGGATCACCCCATGATTGTGGCAGACACACAAACACACACATACACACACACACACAATGCATTTGCTTTTCTACTCCCTTAGGAATCCCACTATAAGCAGCAAGGAAATTATCTTTAATTTAGGAAAGTTTTGTCAGATTCACCCCAGAATAAAACGTCTGTCCCTGATAAAAGTTCTGGGGAAGAGTTGTTTGTCTTGTGTGCACATCTTTAGGTACTGAAATGTAGCTGAACTGAATAAAAAGAACAAAAAGGGCCCTGGGCGTCTGTTTCTTGTTTCAGAATCGTATGCATGAGAGCTTGCACCTCTTCAACAGCATCTGCAATCACCGATACTTTGCCACTACTTCCATTGTTCTTTTTCTCAATAAGAAAGACGTTTTCCTGGAAAAGATCAAGAAGGCCCACCTCAGCATGTGCTTCCCCGATTATGAAGGTGAGTTCCAGTCAGCAGCATACATGTTTGTGTGGAGCTACTTGAAAGCAGAGTATTACAGTCAATTGTACAATGATGTAGGAACATACAAACGTCACACCAGGTAGCCCGGAAAGTAACAAAAAACCATATATAGGTCAGCAGGTCAAAACCCAAATGCCTAAAGAATGGCATCTGGTTTTGGCAATCTATAAAATGATTATTAAAATTCCAAAGAGAAAGTAGCAGATGCTTAGATCTGCCCTGCTGAATTAATCTTCTTCAGATGTCTGGATCATAATTTCCATTGGTTTGCAGAGCAACAGCTATGCTGGCAGGGACTGATGGAAGTTGTAGTACAACACATCTGGCTGATGCCAATTTAGGGAAGGCTGATTTAGATCAAGCCAGACAGGAAATTATCATGTTCCACTACCAGGAAAGAAATCAGCAATAAAAATGAACTTTAATATCATCAACCATGGTCTCATTCTTCCATTTTTGTCTACACAAGTTCCCTCTGTGGAGGAGAAAATAACTACTCTTAATGTACTCCAAGAAGACCTCCAAGGTCCCTTCTGTTATTTTTTTATATGGTCAGCATTATACTGGGCCTAAATCAGTGAGAATTTGTAGAACCCATTCCCCTCTTTTATTTACACCTACCCTTGTTATTTTGTTGGCTTTCTATACAAAGATATACTTGCTGGGATGGATGTAGTTGAAATTTGACAACCATATAAATTACAGGTGGTTAATTTTGTTCATGTCATCCAAAGGTACAAGTAATGAAAATCTTTGCATTTGATTTCTTGGTCTTACTACTACACAACTTTGGGTGGAAAAGGCAAGTTATCTTTTATTTCCCTTGCTTCGTCCACATGATCATGAGGAGAGGACCTTACTTTATTACAAGACATTAGTTTTGGAAAATAAACACTAGAGGGCATCAGTCCCCTATGAAATATGGAATACTTTTCTGCCACGTAAGCCAGAATTTATTATGGGCTGTTTCTTCAAGGAATACTTGTGTACATGCGGTATTTGTGGTTTTACACTGTAATTTTAACCATCTTTAAGAATAGGACCCATGTTATTGTTGCAGAGATGCTTTTCTTCTCAGTTGTTCCAATACTGGAAGAAAATACAACTTAATGGGAAGTTCAAAGTTGATAAGAGAGTGTTGGGCAATTCACCCACCAAAACTTCTCAAAAAGTTTCCCTTTAATAAACTGTGTTGGGAGGCTTTTCAATGACTGAAAGGGCAACAGAAGCCCCATATGTTTAGTCAGGTCAGTCATACTTCCAGAATGCCTGCTCTTCAAGCATTCAGAAATGAAGTTTCTTTCAACATTTAAATAACAAGAAAAAAGTCAAGTAAACAGTTGGTCCACGAAAGAGAGAAGATGGCAAGGAAGTAACAGGCAGTAGAGAAAAAGCAGAGCTGCTTAACTCAGTTTTTGCATAAGTTTTCACGCAAAAAAACCTATCAAAAACATAACTGTAAAAAACAGACTAGACATAAAAATTTAAATAAAAGAAAATGGTAAGAGAACACCTGTCTGATCTTCATAAATATAAATCACCGGGATCTGACAGTTTACATCCCAGAGTTCTGAAGAAGCTGGCAGATGTTATCTCAGAACCATTGTACCATATCTTTAAAAAATCCTGGCCCATTGGGGAACTACCAGAAAAATGGAAAAAAGCTGATGTTGTTCCCATCTTCAAAAAGGAAAAAAAAAAAACAGACCCAGAAAACTACAAACCAATCAGCCCAGCATAAATACCTGGGAAGATACTGATTATAACTAGAAGCCAGCATGGGTTTATTAAAAACAGATCATGCCAAACCAATCTTATTTCATTCTTTCACAAAGTGACTAAATTAGTCGACCAGCAAAATCTATTATACTTAGATTTCAGTTAGGCATTCGACAAAGTAGACCACAGCTTATTTCTTGGTAAGCTAGAAAAATGTGGGATAGACAGCATCACAACCAATGGATTTGTAACTGGCTGACAAACCATATTCAATGAGTAGTCCTTAATGGTACTATATCTACATGGAGGGAAGTAAGCAGTGAGGTATCACAAGGTTCTGTCTTAGGCCCAGTACTCTTCAATATCTTCATAAATGACTTAGATGAGGGAATAAAAGGGAAACTCATCAAATTTTCAGATGACACTAAGCTGGCAGGAATAGCCAACAACCCAGAAGACAAGCTCAGGATACAAAAAGATCTTGACAGATTTGAACAATGGGCCCTATCCAATATGAAACTTAATATGGAGAAAAGCAAGGTTTTACACCTAGGCAAGAAAAACCAAAGGTATAAGTACAGATTAGGCAAAACCTGGCTCAAAAATAGTAACTGTGAGAGGGACCTTGGAGTCCTAATGAGCAAGAACCACCAAAAAAGCTAATATAATCCTTGGTTGTATAAACAGAGGCACAGATTTAAAATCACATGAAGTATTAGTACTGCTTTATAAATCTTTAGTAAAGCCACACCTTTACTAAAGATTTAATACTGCATCCAGTTTTGGTCAAAAAAAATGTTGAGACTTTGGGGGGGGGGGAGGAAAGTGCAAAGAAGAGCAACTAAGATGATTAAAGGCCTGGAGACAAAAACATATGAAGAACGGTTGCAGGAATTGGGAATGGCCAGTCTAGAGAAAAGAAGGACTAGGGGTGACATGATAGCAGTATTCCAGTATTGGAGGGGCCGCCACAATGAAGGGGGGATCAACTTATTTTCCAAAGCACCAGAAGGCAAGACAAGGAACAATGGATGGAAACTAATCAAGGAGAGAAGCAACCTGGAATAAAGGAGAAACTTCCTAACAATGAGAACAATTAATCAGTGGAACAGCTTGCCTTCAAACATTGTGGGTGCTTCCTCACTGGAGGTTTTTAAGAAAAGACATGGTCAGCCATTTTCTGAAATGATATAGGGTCTCCTACTAGAGCAAGGGGTTGGACTAGAAGACCTCCAAAGCAGTGGTGGGATTCAGATATGTGAGCAACTGGTTCTCTGTGTGGATGCCACTTCTGGAAATCCATTCTGGGCCTTGGCAACAAAAAAATAGCTATCGGTTCTGCTGAACTGGTGTGAACCGGCTCTATTCTGATTGATTGAAGTGATGTAGGTGGGTGATGTTCAGTAAAACAGGGAAGACTTGATGATCAAGGATATTCCCTGGAAGGAAAGCTTAGTACAATGCAGCTGATCATTGAACAATGAATGTCAAACTGTTATTAACAATTGCAGTGTTCAATGATTCTGTTTAATACAGATTGGAATCATGTCCTTAAATGTGCTTTGTTTCATTCTGGACAAATTAATAATATTCTGAGCTAAGACGGTTTGTGTTACTCTATAGGTGAAGCTATTCCTTTATCACCACCCATCTCTTTGCAGGGCCCAATACGTATGAAGATGCAGGTGCCTATATCAAACTCCAGTTCCTGGAACTGAATATAAGAAGGGATGTGAAGGAAATCTACTCACATATGACCTGTGCCACTGACACAGAAAACGTCAAGTTTGTCTTTGATGCTGTCACTGACATCATTATCAAGGAAAATCTGAAGGATTGTGGCCTCTTCTGATTGCAAGTGTTCGTTTTTCCTAACTTGGTTGGCTCTGGCCAGGCAGGATCAGACGGATGGATAGGAAAGGCGAGGCGAGGAGGACCTACCTTGAATAAAATCCAGTTCATTGAAGCAATATATATATATATTGCCTTATCAGATATAGTCTAATGGCAAGTTGCAATAAGGGCTCTTCCAGTTTATTTGGGAGAAACAAAAAAGATTAATTTCCCAGTTCTTGGAAATATATATTCCAGCTATTATTCTCTTCATGCAGCAGTAATGTACTGAGTGATTTTTTGGAACCTGGAAAGACTGTTCCTTTCTATTTTAAATTCAAAATACAGTAGTTAGATGACAACTATCTAGCTTAGGCATCTCATGTTTAAAAAGAAAACAAGGAAACTCTTGTCAATGAAAATTAGCAATTTACCACTGAATTTCAGTGGTGAAATCTTGGGTCAGTGGGGAATTATTAAAACTGCAATGAAAAATTATAGACCCCTGTGATTGGAGTAAAATAAATTATTGGCACTGAGGGATTTCCAGAGATTTACAGTAGTGAGGGCCTGCAGTCAGAGGGTTTGTAGCTTGTTCAGAATGTTTCCACAGAAATGTATGACTTCTAGCTCTGCTTGTGGTCTTCTTCAAGTCATTGTATGAACGATGTCAAGCAGACTCAGAATTAAATGCCTTGATCCAGCTGACCTCCTCTGATGTTCACAGAAGGTGGTGTGACTGAAAGAATACAACACATGAAGCCAAAATGAAGCCAGATACTGAAGGACCTCAGTCCTCCTATGTAATACACTCTTTCTACAGACATTCCTGTTCATCTGTCAAGCCCCGGGGAAATCAGAAGATTCAGACAGTTCAAATGAGTATAAAGATTAATTGCAAGCTTAACTTCTCTATAGCAGTGTTTCTCAACCTTGACAATTTTAAGGCATGTGGACTTCAACTCCCAGAATGCTGGCTGTGGAATTCTGGGAGTTGAAGTCCACATGCCTTAAAATTGTCAAAGTTGAGAAACACTGCTCTATAGGAATCTGAACTACTAATGGTTAAGGGAAATTAATTTGAACTACTAACGGTCAAGGGAGTTAAGCAACAAATTCAAGGTGGGCTGGGCTTAAGCTTTCATGACTGATGAGAGCATTTGACCCCGACATCATCTTGATTAAAATCAGCATTGCCAATTCAGCTAAGGGCAATAATTCCTATATTGCAGTTATTTTTCCTGCAAATTAGTATTGTCTGGAATAATTATCCAGACTCAAGAAAATAGTTGTTCCATCCTAGGAGCTGGGCTACAGAAGTCACGTGTAGCTTACCAGCTTTTTTAAAAAAAAAAAAAAAACTTAGAAAAATCTGCTACTAGATGTTCCCCAATATGGTATGCTTGCTTTTTGACATTTCTTCATTACTTTCACTTTCAGCAGGAAAAACAGGCCAGCAAATTCTTTCTTCCAGTATCTGAGCCACAGCTGTGCCTCTAAGGCTGTTAGCATGTGTGGCCTTGCCTCAATTATGAACCTGCTTGCTGATATTGGCTAATTCTGCTAATGCAGTGGTTCTCAACCTGTGGGTCGGGACCCCATTTGGGGTCGAACGACCATTTCACGGGGGTCGCCAAACAAGGCTGTCCGCCATTTTTCCCCCCTTTTCTTTGACCACGCCTCTGGCACCCAGTGATGTATAAGTGGTTGGGGGTCACCACAACATGGGGAACTGTATTATGGGGTCGTGGCATTAGAAAGGTTGAGAACCACTGTGCTAATGTCTTTTTCCTTGTTCAAGCTTGATTTTTCGTTAATGACACTACTTTCTCTGAATGATGGAAACACGGCTATTATCAAAACTATGCATTATATTTTGGACAGCAAAAAGTAACGCCCTGCTGTTGGAATAATTATAACATTTGCAAAAGTGTAATTGTAACAGTTATTCTGCAAATAACATTTTTCTTCTAGTTTTGCACACTTGGGAGCTTCTATGGACAAGCTTGTCAATGTGTTCACAACAGAAAGGGGCAGTAATGAGACCAGACCTGGGAGTCAGAAGATGAAGATCAAATAGAAGCCTGCTCAAATATGGTGATGGTCATCCCCAACACACACCATGGCAACCAAGGAGGGGGTGGAGTCTGGCTATTTGGGATCCACGGTAATGGGTCACTCTTCTCCTCCTACAAGTTCTAAGATTTATGATAACTTCCACTTGTTAGTCATGAATTTGACCCTTTGGGTAAACTTCATCTTGGAAGATATTAGTCAAGTCACTTGATATTTTTGCTACCGGCAAACTCATCTATGGTCCTAATTTTCTTTTTGCTGTACTGTAATAGGTCCTCTATTACGTAGTGCAAATTGAATGCAGAAAACAAGTAAAAATGACTGTTTACATTGTGAACATTATGAAAAATATGTACAAACAACTAGGACCAAGCTACAAATGTTATATATGGCTTATATGTGTTATACTCAAATAATGTCATAGATAATACTGTACGCATTCAGCATACTATTTCAAACATTTCTGTATCAGTACGTATATTTCACTTTGGGTATTACAGCTGTTTAATATAGATTGTAATACTTGCAACATCCAACAAAACGTGGATGATAAGCATATTGCTGAAAAATGCATATTTTTTCCCCTTCTTCCATAACATCTGATAAAATGTATTATTACAACATCTTTTTCTAAAGTCTTCCTTTATCTGTTACCAAACTATGTGCGCATTATGGACATTTCCATATAGATGCAGTAAGAACAATCCTGGTACATTGCTTTACTACTGATTTTTGGTATTTTCAGGTTAAAGTCTCTGACTGAATGCTTTTCTTGAAAACAAGAAAGTTTTTCTTTTGTGACAATAGGTAAGGACATTTCTCTTAATGCCTCCCACTAGTCCAAGCAAGGAGAGGCAGCCAACATGCTAGATCAGACATGTCAAACACAAGGCCCAGGGGCCGGATGCGGCCCGCGAAGTGGTTTCATATGGTCCGCGAAGCCATCCTGGAAACAGTGAGGGAACGGCCCCCGCTGCCATGGCCCTGGCCAGCCGGGAGCCAATTTTGTGGTGGCATCTATGCTGAAACGCATTCAGTCTTAGCTCCACAAGGCCATCTAGAAACAGCGAAGAACCAGCCCCTGCTGCGTCGGCCCCGCCCCGTAGTTGCATGCTGGGGAGGTGTCACCCTTTGTGAGGAATGAAAAAATGGACCATGCCTTGGCGCTTGCCCCAGTCCCACCCCCTTCTGCCAGAGACCCTCAGATCTGTCCCACTCCTGCCCAAGCCCCCACAGGCACCCTTGACATAAACAATGTAGAGCTGGCCATGCCCACCCAGTAGGCCACACCCACTCCATCCACACCCACCCAGTAGGCTGCACCCACCCTGGCCACACCCACCCGGCCCCCCTGAGGGCAACCGCAATGTTGATGCAGCCCTCAATGAAATTGAGTTTGACACCCCTGTGCTAGATGCCCTCACAGATCTTCAAGGGCCAATACTTCACTGGAGCACGTGGGAAGACCAGAGGTTTCTGTACTTTCTTCAGTATTGTCTTCTAGTCCAACCCTATACTATTTCAGACAAATGGCTGTTCAATCTGTTCTTTAAAATCTCCAGGGTTGGAGCAACCCCAACTTCTGGAGGTCACTCATTCCACTGATTAATTGTTCTAACTGTCAGGAAGTTTCTCCTTAGTTCTAGGTTGCTTCTCTCCTTGATTAGTTTCATCCGTTGCTTCTTGTCCTGCCTTCAAGTGCTTTGGAGAATAGGTTGACCCCCTCTTCCTTGTGGCAGCCCCTCAAATATTGGAACTGAAATATTGAAATATGTTATATGTATGTATTTAAGGAAAGACTATATTTGAAGACTATAACACATTTCCCTTTTTCTATATTTATTATTCATAACTTATATTTTACCTTTCAGCCTTATGGGGCATCAAGTTTACATACTTCAGAGAAAAAAAAAGCACTCATCCAGGCCACAAAACTCTTTAGAAAGACCAAACATATGGAGAAAATGATAGCATGTTTCCAAAACAGGGATATTCCCACTTTATAGTGTGAGCATGTGCAATGTAGTGTTGTTTTTTTTAAGATGTTTTGGGCTACAACTTCCATGTACCTCAATCATAATATCCAATGATCTCGCAACTGTAGTCAAAAACATCTCCAAAGTTTTGTTTTTGTTTTTAAAAAAAGGCTAGGAGAAGCTCACAAACTTGTATCATGAGCCAAGGAAAATCATCCAGTCATTAAAACCCACCATGAAATACTGTGCTCAAATATATTTAAGAACGATGGAAGAAAAGCAACGCAGTTCAAAGAAGGCTTTCTTTCTACTTTTTATTATTTCAAACCATGTGAACAATTTGGTAAAACGTGATAAAAGCTAGGCTGCGTCTGACGGTTACTAATGGCCCAGTGCCCATCAACTGCACAGCAGGCAGGACCGCTTACATACAGCAGCGTTTCTTCAGCTGACACTACAGTTAGAGCTAAGAAAAGACATGAAAATAGACCTGACATTACAGCAACCTCAGGTGCACCCTCGGGCCCTGGGGTGGGGCACAAAGGAATGGAAAGAAGTTGACATTGCTTAGTAGAATCTTAGCCCTTAGGAACCTAATTCTGTGTCCAGGAAGAAACATGTTTTAATGCATGGGCACTGCCCCCTCATAAAAAGCTTGGCCTGGTCCACAGCAAAAAAGGGAGAGAAGGGCTGGAAAACGGGAAAGAACCCACTGTATTCTATTCTAAACACAATGCACGTTGAAGCAAACTAAGGAACAGATGTAAACATAACAGACACCCTCAAGGCACAAATTTACTAGAGAAGATGAGCTCATACTGGGCAACTCAACCGTTTACTACTGGACATTTTAAATATGATTTTTTTAAAAGGGTTTCTTATAAAACAATAGACCAGCTTTTCCTGCACAAATTTACTCTTAAGGAATGTTATTTTATTTTTTGCTGGTCTGTGCAAATTACAGAGGTAGGAGCTGAAAAACTTGCTCCATGGCAAGAGCTCCACTTGATGGAAGGTAAAAAACAAAACAAACAAACAAACAAATGAACTGTAGATTGCTTTGGCAGGGCCGGACAGAAAGTTGCTTGGACAAAAGTAAAGCAAAAGGGGAAAAAAAAAACACTCCCAAACCCCACTTTGTATCTTTAAAAAGAAGGTAAAGAGCATGGCAAACATATCCAAAGCCCTTTGACTTGCTACCATCTGGATTTCAGTTAAAGAAAGAGAAAAAAAGGGGGGCATGTATGGAAATGTTACAACTATGGCAAGTCACCAATCATTGGTACTTTAGTAAGGCTTTGTGGGCACAGGGAGAAGACAAACAGCCTGCAGGAGGCAACTAGACAGCAAGAGCAGGGGAAACAATGGGCCCTGTCCTTTGGACAGGAAGAATTGCCAAAGTCTCATCATTAGGAATATTTAAAGGAATGGAACAAAACTTAAGAAGCAGAAGTTGTTAAATGATGCAGTCCTCCCTTCATCAACACCAGCCTCTTCCTCATATGGAGCAGTTCAAGTATCCTGCAGTGGGAAGAGCAAAAGGAAGTTAATATGCATATTTACAGAAAACAATGGAGTTACAAAACCCTGTATTTGGAAACAATGCATTCTGGGGACTCAAGAAAGTTCCATTTTGATTTGGACTAAGCCAATTCAGTTGTTCTATGACAGGCAAAACATTCTCCTGAAAATAGGTTTTCCAAAAAGTGAAGTGATTTAAGTACACTTGGAAACTTCTAAAAAATCTTCCTGGAATAGCTAGATCAGTTTGGTTTGGAGGACTTCTTTTCTCCTGGAATACTTGGTTCCTAAAATGTAGTGTTTTGCATATTCCTAAGAGCATTCAAAATAAGGCTCAGATCTGAAGTGGTCTGCTATATACTACTTGTGTAAGCAAGAGAATGGGATATTTGTATGGTAAACGGTACACACAAAAACACATCAGTGCTCAATCCAGTACAGCATTCACTCTGCCCTGCGTATATACTTATTTAGTCTCTGAAGTTAATCTGGAACCTTGAATACTTAACCCACCAATCATGGGTCCTTTAGTAAGGCTTTGTGGTTCATAGTAGTTTAGACAATTCCAAATTAACGTAACCCCTACCCAGATAAGATCTAGATTTTGTCAGATATAGAAACCCATCTTATATCCAGAAAACCATGATCTTTACTGTATATGCTGAATATCAATGACAGTGGTTCTACCTCATCTTGGAAAATGAAAAATATTACTCCCTTGCATCCAATTAGATTTGTATATTTCCTGAAATGAGACACTTCAGATAAGTGCTTTCAGTTTGCTTTCAGGAAACTGGCATAGACACCTTTATTTTAAAGTTCGCAAGTGTGATTATTCATCACAAGTAGCCTTAAACTGTCTCATTATTCTACTAACCCCTCACCTTTCTATTTTCCTCAGTAGATGCCATCTGAAGAGCTAAAAGAGCCCACAGTCCTTCAGGTTGTTTTTGATGATGACATCAGTGACAGCATCAAAGACAAACTGCACATTCTTGGTATCAGTGGCACAAGTGAAGTGGGTGTAGATCTCCTTGGTGTCCTTTCTCTTGTTCAACTCCTCAAACTTGTTCTGAATATAGCCTGCAGCTTCATCATATCGGTTGGCCCCTGAGAAGGTCGGGGAGAAAGAACAATGATTAGAAAGATTATTATACCATAACTAGGTGCATTGACTCAGTTTTTAGCTTGGATCCTTAAAGAAGCAGTACATTAGCTTAAAAAGAACCATCCTCAATCCATATAAACAGTATCAGGTTAAACAGCCAGCAAATATAAGAGTTACTATGAAAAGATTAGCAAGACACTCCAGCCCTCAAAAAGCTGTTTTCCTCCTCTGCCAGATATTGAGTTAGCAAATAGGTAGGGGTGGAACAAAACTAATCTGTGGGAGGGATAGGGGAAAAGGGAAAGGGAAAGGAAGGGGAGGGGAGCGAAGATGGCATTTTGCTGGCTCCTTTCCATGGAACTCTGAGCAACATGGCTGAGTAACATCAGGAAACTAAACTTAAAATGATCCAATCTATCAGATCTGTAGTTAATACATAATCTCTCTGCACAGAAGGAAGTGGCTTCAAGAGAGAGATAATTTGCTACAAATTCCCCATATAGCTATTATATGGATTGAATTTTTGAATCAAATCCATCTGAGACTTATTTTTTACAGAACTCATAATTAATTGATCGCCTTTCGTTGAGCTCCCTAACCTCCCAACCGTTTGAAAAGAAGATACTCAAAATATTTTTAATGTCCCAGTCTATCCTGTAATATTTTCTTCCACTTGTAAAGGCAGAAATTAAGAGTCCAAATCTGGTTTGTCTGTAAAACTGAAAATGCTGGAATGTTCTATATAAATCTGCATGCTGAAATCTTATGCTCAGCCAAGGCTGCTAACTGTGAGAACTGAACATTTTTGCTCAGTTTTGCTGGCCTTCTTGAGTTATAGATTGTCTAGAACCATGGTGGCACACGCACTGTTGCCCCAGTCCTAGGCCTTCAGCTGGGTTTTATAAAACCTTTTTGCTTTAAGCCTCCGTGCCCATGTGCAAAAAAAAAAAAAAAAAGGTTCAATCAATCAATCAATCAATTTCAACTTCTCGCGAGAAAAAAAAAGATCTTGCAAAGT